TTCCCTAGCAAGGGGGTGGAATCTCCATCCCTAGAGATTTTTAAGTTCTGGCTTGACAAAGCCCTGGCTGGGATGATTGAGTTGGGATTGGTCCTGCTTTGGGCAGAGGGCTGGACTTGATGAGTCCTGTGGTTTCTGCCAGCCCTAAGATTCTATGAAAGCTTTTGAGGTAAGAATAGCCCCCTACAGCAGGCTGGAGTAAACCAACCCAGCAGCTGATCTAGTTCTGGCTCCCTGCCATGCCAGAACAGAACTACAGCTTGTCCAGCCCTAGGAACTCTCCTTTTGGAATCACAGAAATCTGTGGTGGGATGGATCCACACGCCCAGCTCCCTGTAACCCTAGACCACCCCAAGAGGTGTTTGTCCAAACTACTGTATTCTGAAAAGCTTCCATTAAAAACTTATTCCAGAGTTTAACTGCCATTACAGCTATTAGGAGACTTTCTGTCTAACCTGAATTTCCCTTGCTGCAGATTCTCATGGTTTTTGTCCTGCTGCCCACGAATAAGGAGATCAGTTGATCTCTGTCCTCTTTATAACACCCCTTAGCAGAGCTTAGGGCTGTGTTCAGGGTCCACCTAAGTCTTTTCTCCAGACTAGACATGCTCTGCTGTTGCACAGCATGGCCTGGTGCTTAGGGCAGTGGATAAGGATCTAGGAGACCTGGTTTATTCCTGACTGCTGTGTGACCTTGGCTACAATTACTTCCTCTCTCTTTCCTAACTTCTCTGGCTAGATTGGCAGCAGTGTCTATCTCTCACTGGTCATCTATGCAGTACCTGAAGGGACTACTGGATCAGATGTTGATAATGCACTGAATTGTGTGGCCATCTCGGCCTTGGGAGCGGTTCCTTCCTGCCCACTGGCTGGGGATGAGCCCAGGCCTGAGAGGAGGCAGGTTGGGAGTCCTGGGTTTAGCCTCAGCCTGTGTGATCCAGCTCGAAAGGAAGGGGCAACATGACCACAAGTTAAAAACATGCATCCTTGCCAACATGCTGACTGTTAAAACCAGCATCCTACACTTGAAAACAAAGCCCTGGATAAAACTCCAGAGCTCCTCTCCCCCAGCCCATGTGGTGCCCAGCCAGCTTAGGCTGCCATGATGTTCTGGATCCCTAGCTGCTCCTTGAGGTGGCGGGATAGAGGAGAAATGGGGGAGGTTAGCTGGAGCTCTGTGCGCCCATGTGGTCATTCACCCATCCCACATCTGCCTGGGCAGGAGGTCTCAGCTAGCAGGATGGTAGGTGGCACAGTTCTGGATGTTGAGCAGTGGACAGGGAGTGGTCCCTGGTTCATGCATTCAACATCTGCTTCAAGGAGCCAAGTAGGATGAAAAGGGATAGAGGAGAAATGGGGGAGGTTAGCTGGAGCTCTGTGCGCCCATGTGGTCATTCACCCATCCCACATCTGCCTGGGCAGGAGGTCTCAGCTAGCAGGATGGTAGGTGGCACAGTTCTGGATGTTGAGCAGTGGACAGGGAGTGGTCCCTGGTTCATGCATTCAACATCTGCTTCAAGGAGCCAAGTAGGATGAAAAGTTGCCCTTGTTTCAGGGCAGGGCTCTCGAAAAAAAAGGGCCAATGGAGAGAGCCAGCCACAAACAGGCATCTGGAAAATTGTTTGGTGGGCTCTCCCCTACATCCAGGGCAAATCTTGGAGAGAACATAACCCAGCCACTGATCTCCCCTGCACTCAGGAACACACAGTCTTGTGGATTAACTGACCATCACCTGAGTAAAGAGACCAGAAAGAGTGCTCTTGCTCTGTAGGATTCCCCTACTCCTCACCACAAGTGACACGGGACAATTTCTGACTCAGGATGTTTCCAAGAGAGGAAGCAGAGAGGGGCTAGGGGCAGACAAATGGAAGAAGCCTTGAGTCCCTGACGGGGGTTATGTGGAGACAGCTGTGGCTCTAGGGAATACTGTGGGTTGCAGGAGAGGCATTCACAGTTGCAGACATGATGCATTGTCCCTGTGCTGCTTCTCAGTGAATCCAGGCTAGCCCACCTGGTGCTAGTTCAGTTGGTGGCATCTGCCCCAGCTGGGTGAGACCAGGGTACTTTCTATAGAGGATGCAGAGTGGAAGAAGTTCTCTGCTGGGTTTGAGGCAGATGTGCCAGAAGCAAAGGCCCAGGTTGCAGCAGGTGGAAGAAATCTTGGAGGCTGGGAAACCCAGGTGGAGATGCTGGGGGTTAATGATTAACCATGGCATGGGGAGGCCTCTTTAAGAGCTTCATTCCCCAGGGTAACTGAAGGGGAGAATCTGGCACTCCCGCATTGGGAAGAGGAGCAGCCCAAAGTTCAGGAAGGTCCTGGAGAAGCAGCCTTGTGAGACTGCAATTGTTGTGAAGAGTATGGTTTGGGCTGGAGGCAAGGCTCCTGTAACCCAATACATGGCCCTGGCCAGGTTGTTTCAGTGAGTTCTAAAACACCCTTCACCTGCAGAGGGCAGAGTGGCCCCTCCCCCACAGCCAGAGCTGGGATGAAGGGCACCCAGAGAGTAAGGCAGTGGGGTGGGTTCCGGCGTGGCCTAGGGGATAGGACATCACAAAGCAGTCACTCCATAGCTGACCTCTCAGCCCTCATCTTCCAAGGAAATCTGCACAACTCTTTTAATAGATAAGCCAGGGAGCTTAAATTCATGATTTTGCTAAACACCATGGTGTGTCTACATTGACACGATCTTGCGCCAAAGTGGCCACTTTTGCGCAAAAACATATGCTGCTTGTCTACATGGGCGGGGAGTTCTTGCACAAGAACACTGATGTTCTACTGTATGAAATCAGGGCTTCTTGCGCAAGAACTATGATGCTCCCATTCAGGAATAAGCCCTCTTGCGCAACTGTTCTTGCGCAAGAGGCCAGTGTAGACAGGCAACATGAATTTCTTGCACAAGAAAGCCCTATGGCTAAAATGGCCATTGGAGCTTTCTTGCACAAGAGAGCGTCTACACTGGCACAGATGCTCTTGCGCAAAGGCACATGCCGGTGTAGACACTCTCTTGCACAAATACTCTAATGCAAAAACTCTTGCGTTAAAGAGTATTTGTGCAAAAACTTGCCAATGTAGACGTAGCCTAAAAGTCATGGGCTGGACAGAGATGCTGGATTTATGGCTTCTTATAACCATTTGTAACCCTCTAACACTCCCCTCATGCCTTCTTCCCTTTCCTCCGTCCTCCATGATTGTCTCTTTAATGCACAGGTGGGTAAGATACAGCCCATTAGTTCATAGCCTGCCTCTGTGCACTGAGCAGCAACTCTCAAAGCAGCTGCAGAGTGTGATGGGGAGGCCTTGCATGCTGCCTCCCCTTCACCTTCCCCCCCCCCCACAAAATTTCTCATCTCCTATTGGCTGGAACCCAGCCAATGAGAGCCAAGAGCTTTTGCTGAGGGCAGGGCCTGTGCTGCACAATTTCTCAGCTCCCATTTACCCGTTTCCAGTCTAACATCTACAGTATCCCCTCCCCCCAGCATGTCAAGTCCATGAGTCGGGGCCCCCCAAAAAAACCGTAATTCAGTAATAACGTTGGGAATCTGTTGTGGCTGTCTCCTCCTGGAGCCTTTAGGGCAGTGTTCCCTGGGGCAGCTGCCCAGGGGATATTTAAATGATTAGTAGAGCGCCCATAGCGGGCAGCGTGTTTCTACGGATGGTGCACATCCGCCCATGCCTTGGTGCACCGAACAAAATGCATCCCTCACATGGGTGGAAACAAATGAGAGGGAACATTGCTTTCGGGTCACGCTGGCTGCACCATTTCAAGCTTTCCCCAGTGCCTCCTGGGACTCTTAATTGACATAGCACATCTACCTTAGGGAAGCCTGCCTCAGACTAATTTTGAGGCTTCCCTGCAGCGTAGACATGCTATTTCGAAATAAGCTATTTCAGAATAACTATTCCGGAAGGCTGTGTCTAGACTGGCCAGTTTTTCCAGAAAATCAGCCACTTTGAAAAACTTGCCAGCTGTCTACACTGGCTGCTTGAATTTCCGCAAAAGCACTGACTTCCTAGTGTAAGAAATCAGTGTTTTTTGTGGAAATACTATGCTGCTCCCGTTCGGGCAAAAACTTTTGCGCAAAAGGGCCAGTGTAGACAGCTGAGATTAGTTTTCTGCAATAAAGCCCCGATCGCAAAAATGGCGATTTTGCAGAAAAGCGCGTCTAGATTGGCCATGGACACTTTTGCGGAAAACCATCCGTGCCAATCTAGACGCTCTGTTCCGAAAATGCTTTTAACGGAAAACTTTTCCGTTAAAAGCATTTCCGGAAAATCATGCCAGTCTAGATGTAGCCAAATAGTTTATTTTGAAATAGCTGTGCAATGTAGGCGTACCATCGTAGCTTAGAGATTTTGCAGGCAGCAGGGCAGTGTGTAAAGCATTCCCTGCCCAAGCACTCAGAGCCACATGGAACAGTCAGCTGCTCTGAGTGTTCTGAGGTTGCTGGCAGGAGTGCTGCTGGTCAAGAGCGGCTTAGGTAAGTGCCTCCTGGCCAGAGCCTGCTTCTGGCATCCCACCCCTTCCCACACCTCAACTCCCTCCCAGACTCTGCAGTTCTTCTTACAACCCTCCCCTGCAAAAATCCTCTCCTGCACCCCAATCCCCTGCCCAAGCTCCCTTCCGCACCTAACCTCCATCCCAGACCCCGCATCCTCTCCATAGAAAAGCATGGTCCTTGACCACTTACCAAAATCTTGGACTGGCCCCTCATCAAAAATTGTTGCCCACTCCTGGTCTAGTGGGCTCTATAGACCTGTAGGACCCGCAGGGACGTGTACCTGCCACTAGGGAACAGCAGGAGGCCTCGATCTGTTACAGGCACAATCTGGCATGGGGGTTGCAAGCAGATTGGAGGAGGGGAGCCTGCAATTTGTGAGGAGAGGATTAGCCGCAGTGTACAGATGAGTTGGCAGATGAATGGGGCACAGACAGATCCTGCCATTCTGTGTGACTGGGAGGACCCTCAGGCTATTTTAAACATTTCTATTCACCTTCGGGGGGGACAGCAATGCTCTGGAAGAATGATCGTCCCTTGGCAAGTCATTGTCTGAGTGTGCAGGGAGGGGGCTATTACATACCCACAAACTTTTCAATGGCCAACACTGCCTCCTGGTCTGTGACAACCTCTGAGAAGACAGGGTGCTCTTGGGCCAGCTTCAGTGTCTCAACTCCCACTGTCTTCGCCCCGAGGGTCTTTGCCACGCTGCAGCCAGGAGAGAAGAAGAGACGTGTGGCAGGTGGGGATAATGGAGTCCCCTAGCACACTTTTGCAGGTCAGTGCAACCTATCCCTGCAAGTGTGTAAGCTGCCAGGGTTTGAGCCAGGCAAGGAGCTGCCAGGGATAGCAGGGTGGAATCCCCACTGCCCCTCACATTCTCCTTGCCAGAGCACCCAGATTCAGTGCAGCTACATGGGGTAGCACGGGGCAAGCTCTTGAGTTACCTGGTTTCTACTCCTTCCTAGATCACAAAGAGGTTTGACTCTGTGGATCTGGGAGAAGGGGGCATCTGTAGTGCCCAAAGACCTGTGCTCCCTGCTGTCCACATGGAGGAGCATCACTGTGCTATTTTAGATTATGCACAGGAAGGGGCTAGGTGGAGGTGCCCCGTGGGAGGGGGAATAAGCCAATAACATCCAAGGCATGTAGGTGGCAGAGTAGCGGACCTGGGGGGAATCATGAGGCTGCTGGACAAGTCTCTCTTCTATCAGCCCCTGAGCTTTCGTTCTTCCTAGCCGACCCCAAGTCTTGGCTCCTTTGATTATCAAGTCACAGGCCAGGAGCCCTGATTCACCCAGCTCCTGTCACTCACCTGGTGATCTCTGGCAGGGTCACCAGCTGCCCAGCAGCCATGGCAGCATTCAGGCTGTGCGCCCCTTTGGTCTCCATGGCAATGATAGGCACATCCTCCCAGCCCACCTCACGGAGGCCTTGGACCACTCCACACAGCATCCCACCACCACCCACGGACAGAGCCAGCGCCCCCGGCTTGGTGTCCAAGTTTTGCTTCAGTTCCTTCACTATGGATGTGTGGCCTTCCCTGCAGAGAGATAGCAAGAGGGAGCAGGGGAGGGGAGGTAATGGCTAGAGGTGACCTGAGTCCTGACCATACGCTATAAAAGAGCCTGGAAAATACAGGTCCTGATTCTGCTCAGTGCTGCCAGTGTCATCCCATTGAGTTCAGGGAGCTCACACCAGTGTCAAAGAAGCAGGGTTCCCCACAACCTGGGATATTTTGGTTTAGCAGCTTGAGACAATTTCAGTCTTTGTGCTCTGTAGTGCTCAGGCTACAGGCTCATGCCTTTGGGACAGGTGACGCTTCAGAACAGGCCTGGGTGCAAGCACTAGAAGGTGAGGGACTGTGTGGACAAACAGACCAAAGTCCAGATAACTTTCAAGATGGGGGGACCCTGCCCAACTATAGAACTTTCTAAAGCACCCAAGTCACAGCTGTGTTTTTAGGGCAGGCAGGGCATCAGTGCAGTGGCAATTGTGAAGCTCCTATCTGAACAGCCATGGAGATCCCAGCCCAGGTACAATGCAGAGTGCCCCTGCTAGGCTAGTGGCACCAGCTTCTGTGGGTGCACTGACTTTAGAGATGCACCATGCAGAGCATGGGCCAGAGCAGTGGGTAATAAATAGTCATGGGGGCTCTCTCTCTGGCAAGCAGCGGCGGATTTAGGGCAGGGTGAGTGGGGCAGCTGCCCCAGGCCCCGCGCATGCGCCGTGTGAAAGGGGGGGCCCTGTGAAATTTCACTGCCTGGGGACCCGTGGCACTCCCATCCGCCCCTGCTGGTAAGCACTCCCATGCTTGGGCACTGAGAGATGGTGGCCATGCTAATGCAGTCTGCATAGAGTGGACCACCTTGTGTGCAGCATGCAATGACCTTGTTGGGGCTACGTGCAGCTGGTGGCTGGGACTAGTAGGGATGTTAATAGGCAGCAGTGGCTAAAATGAAACCTTCCAGCCCCTGGTGTCAGCCTTCACTCAGGCCACATACCAGATGAGAGGGTCATCGAAAGGGGGCACATAGACCCAGCCGGGGTTGTTCTTCACCAGCTCCTTGGCTTGTTCTATGGCCTCGTCCAGCATCTGCAGAGAAGAGACATTTTATTGGACACCCCTCCCCAAGGGGAGCCATTTGTGGTCAGAACCATGAACCTTAGACCCAGTGGGGCAGCCTGCTCTGCAGGGCTCTCCTGTCCTGGCTCTGGGTCATGGTGGGGGAAGATATTCTGGTTCTCACACCAGACAGGCAGACTGATCTACCCACATACCTACCTCTCCCACAATGCAGACGGTGGCCCCCTCGTCCTTCAGCCGCTCAATGGTGAAAGCTGGCGTGGACGTGGGCACGAGGATTGTGGCTGGGATACCCAGTTTCCTGGCAGAGTAGGCAGCTGCCAGGCCAGCATTGCCACCTGAAATCAACCACATTGGGCCTTTGGTTTCCTGTATTCCACCCCGCAAGAGATGTCACAGTGCTGCCTTCAGGGCCTCCCAAAGCATTGTGTCTATCCACCCTCTTCTCCTTCAGCCTTCTCCAGACTTGAGGCTTCTCAGGAGTTTCAGGAGATGTGGAATCTTGTGGCACAGACTGAGGCGGGGGGGTTGTAACATCACAGGAACTCCACATCACATTTGCTATATGACCAAAGATGTCAGAAGCCCCATCGCCCCTACACAATCCACACCAACGCCATCACTAGTGCTTCTCTTCCTTTTCCAGCTGTCCCACAAATACAGCCCCAGCCAGCAGGAAGCAGCCTGGATTAGGGTTCCTGTGCACCCTTGTGGTCATTATTTACATCCAGGAGCAAGAGGAGGAGCTGGAACCCCTGAGTTTTTGGGGAGTATTGGCTTGGGGGTGACACAGCAGCCAGCCCCCTCTGGGAGCCAGGGCCCCAGGTTGGTATATCTCACCTGAGGAGCAAACGAAGCGCTCACAGCCTCTCTCTGCCCACTGTGGAGGCAAATCAAGAGGGAAGGGTGAGTGAAGCGAACGTGGCCACAGCCTGACCTCATGGGAGCTGCTGTTCTCTTAGCAGCCTTGACCCTTCCACCCATTTAATATTTCAGGTCAGTTTCCCCACGGGGCTCCTTTAATGCCTCTCATTGACCCCATCCACAGAGTCCCTGCATCACTGCCAAAGCCACCAGAATGAAGTAAAGTCCAGCAGCAGCCACCCTCCCAGTCCAGCTGCTCCAAAAAGGAGCGTCCTGGCAATTTTCACCCTCCTCCTCCCATCTGAGGTAGGTGGACTCTCAAGATCAGGTATCTTCTGTGAGGTTGCCATAGTAGGTCCCAGAGCTGATACAGTCAGATGCAGATGATGCAGAGACATCAGCTAGTGTCTACACCAAGAAGACACAGAAATCCAGGCTAAGTTCTTCTCCTCCTCAGCCGGAGTTGCATCCAGAATCTATTCCAGGTAGAAGCAGGAATCCAGGCCTGATTAACCTTAGTCATCCCGAGTTAGAGGGGTGCCAATGCTCCCTCCTTACAGTGTACAAGATTGCTGCAGGGAACAGCCAAACTGGTTTGCTGCTCCCGCGGCAAAAGGATTCCATCTTACTACGGTGCTCTCCCATACCCTAGCAATTGTACATTCCAGTTTTGCTCTGCAGTCTTTTTTCTGCACCAGTTGATCATTGTGCCCTTCCCACTGCCTCTGACCGCCCCGCGTCCATACCGTTTTACAGAGGTGACCAATGCCCCGGATCTTAAAGGAACCTGTGGGCTGAGCATTGTCCAGCTTCAGGTAGACACTGGTGCCAGCCACCTTGGAGAGTGGGACACTGTCCCGCAGGGGCGTGTTCACATGCAGGCTCCTGGCAGAAGTCATGCTGGGCTCTGAGGGAAAAAGGAAAATAAGACCCACCATCAGGACTGTGAATATTGTGAGGGTTTCTCTTGCTATGGCTTTATGCTCCGCGGTCTCAGCTCCCATTTTATAGTGGTGTCAGCAGCCTATTCATTTCAATTGGCCATTGACTCTGAAGCCTAATGATGGCTTGAGTGTCAGGACAGTTAACTGTTTCACTGCTGATTATTTCAGCTAATATGTTTTTCCCCCACTTTCAAATTAACCTCTCCCCAGATGTTAAGAACCCCAACTCCCCCTACTCAGCTGCTCCAGCTTCTCTCCTCTCCCATGCACATAATAAAAAAAAAATCTGTGTCACAATGAAAGTGTGGAACCAGCATCAAACAAACTGATTTAATCCAAGACACATGGGAGGAGGAGGCTTGCTGCACTGAGTGGCCCATTCATCCATTTCCCTGTTTAATTAATTGAGCCCCGTCCATATTCTAAATGAAATGAAGTAGCCATATAATGACCAGGCTGATTCGCCAAGTGCCACAGCAACTGGAGCCAAATCTACCCCCAGGTAAATGGGTCCCAGCCCAAAGTGTCATCAGAGTCTCATTCTCTCTGTAGATTTCACATGAAAATCTTCCTTTGCCTCTAGCGTATGGCTCTCTGGGCTAAGTGCTTTGTGACCCGGTGTGAAAGATGCCACCCAGGGTGAACTGTACTCGGACCCTTTCAGCTTGAAAGGCCAAATCCATGTGACTCATGTCAGTCAGTAGATTGTATCTCAATTCCCATCATCCTTCCGTGTCTTTCTTCCACCTGGCGTAGGCACAGTCTGCCTGTCCCCATCCTCACCCACCCTTCACTTCTCTCCTGAAAACACAACCAGGCTGATAAATCCAACTTTTCCCCTCAAAGTGGGGTAGTGAATGACACCCCCAAACAGACCATGGCACTAGCCCGGTGCCTGTGTAACAACCCCACTACAGGCCAGCATGAGGATTACAACTTCAGGCCTGCTGCTGCCATGTGAGGTAGAGTAGCTAGCAGCACTCTGAGGAGCTGGTCCATATAGAGCAGTGGTCACCAACCAGTCGATCGGGATCTACTGATAGATCTTGTAGCTTCTGACAGGTGATCTTGACTGGTTTAGCCCGGGAGCTATCAAGAGCTGGCTCCTGCCCTCTGCCTCGGAGGCGCGCTCCTGGGAGCCTCCTGCTTGCTGTGCAGGGTGTGGGAGGGACAAGGGGATGCTGATGTCAAGGTGTCGCTCCTCCCCCCACTTCTGTACCCTATCTCCACACAGAGAGAAGGGGATGGAGGGAGCTTGGCAGTGCAAATCTGTCACTATACACTGTGTGTGTGTCTGTCATTCTCACAAACATGCACTGTCCTGCACTCTCATCTCCCGACCCAACCCATACGTGGGGGTTGTTGTTACTTCTTTTACTACTTGCAAAGTGGGTTATTTTTGTTTTTTGACTGTCCCTGCCCTGAACCTCCTCCTACACCCAACCTTCTGCCCCTGAAGTGAGTGTCCCTGTGCTCAAACTCCTTCCCAGAACTTGCACCCTAAACCTCTCCTGGACCCCAATTCCTCACCCTGGGCTAAGCCCAGAGCCCCTCGCACACTCCAAATTCCTTGGCTCAAGACCAGAGCCTGCACCCCAAATCCCTATCCCAGCCTGGTGAAAGTGAGTGATGTGGAAGAGGAATGCATTGTAGACAGACCCTAAGACACTTGGCCAGCATAGTTAACTTAGCACACACAGGCTACGTATACACTGCCTCTTTTTTGTGGAAGAGGCAATGCAAATGAAGCACTCATTAGCAACTTCTCTTACTTCATTTGCATATTCTCTTCCGCTGCTTTTTGCAGAAGAGGGTTTTGAGCAAAAAAAAGCAGTGTAGATGGGTCCGTTTTGTGCAAAAAAACCCCCCTTTTGTGCAAGAATTCTTATTCCTCAAAAAAAGAGGTTTTCAGTCAAATAAAAAAAAATATTTGATCAAAAGGCCATTGTTTGTTGGGAGGAAGGGAAAGTTGTATTTTTTGTTGTCCTTGTTGTTATCAGCTCCATTAATCAATAATTATTAGTATATAGTAGATCTGGCCAGCAATAAGGTTTTCCTAGTCCATGAAAACTTCTGAGCTATCAAAAAATGTTCCTATCCCCAAGAAGGACCAAAAATAAAAATAATAAAAAAAAAATAATCAAACTTGAAAAATTAAAAATCCTGAAACAGATTTTGGTTCAGGTCAATTTATTTATTTTGATTAAATTGTAACTCTTTTTTTTTACTTTTTAAAAACTATAATTATCTTAAAACTTTAAACAAAGTTATTTTGAGCTGGCAAACTAGACTTTTTTTATTTAGTACAGGTCAAAATGAAACAGTTTGGCAATTTTGAAACTTTGTTTTTTCAGTCCAAAACATTTTCAAGAGCAACCTTTTCCTGTGAAAAATTTCAGTTGTGGCAAACCAGTGTTTTCTGATGGAAAGACGTCTTGGTGAAAAATTCCCACCAGGATCTAGTGTATATCATTCCCACCCAGTTCTGTGTGGAATGACTTGGGGGATTCAGTCTGGTTCCATCGCCACAGTCCACCACCCAACTGGCCCTTGCCATTAGCCTCTAGTACCCTGGTTCTGAAGTCCTGGCTCATCTCAGAGGTGCGGGCAGAGACACATCATTGGGGCATGTGTGGGAAGCTAATCCTGCAACTGCCTGCACTGCACCTCTCTTGTGACTTGAGTCCAACTGGGGAATTTCATGCTGAGCCCATGACATGTACAAGATAAAAATCCTGCTGCAAACGCAGTGACATCTTTGCTGGAGGGACACCGTCTCTGAGCTGAAAGAGATCCTTTCTGCAGCAGCTCTGTAAACCTTTCTTTCTAGCGCTAGGCCCTCACTCAGAGCCCATTTACAGCTGGTCCCCTGGAGGGTCAATTGCCATGGGAAATACACAAACAGATCATCCCTGTGGCTGGTGACAGAGGGCTCATCCTCTTTTGGGTGGGGAGGGAGGAGAGGAGAAGGCTACACCTTAGCCCCACAGCATCCATTCTGGCCTTCTAGCTAACTGTTGGCCCTAAAGTGAATCCTGCTTGGTTAGCCAGGCAATGGCAGAGATGCAGGGAACCGTGGGGTTAAAGATGGAAGGGATGGGTAGGATTAGATGGCAGGGTCTTCAGAGATCTAGCGGGGAAAGAGAGCATGGGGCAGCATGTGTGAGAGGAGGAGAGACAGCAAAACAGCCTCCTTAACCCTATTTATTACTGCTAAAACCATGGAGATGCATCATGGAGATGCCTGACTCCACATAGGTTTGAGCAGCTCCTAGCATGTCACAGGAACCTGATCTTACACTGGATAAAACCCTTGAGGTTTTATTCTTACTCATCTTAGGCCAGGCCCCAGAGAAACCAACACAATCAAAAACCAGGGGCCAGGTCTGAAGATGAAGGGCAATCATTTTAAAAAGTCCTCAGCTGCTAAGGCGATGAGAGCAGAATTGAAAAGCAGGAGCGCTTCAGTTCATCTCCCTTCGAGCCAGGTTAATGTTGATATCATCAAGGTGTCAATGGGGAAACCGAGGCAGGGAGTGTTTAAAGTCATTTGCCCATGGCCCTTGAAAGAGTCAGTGTCAGAGCTGGAATTAGAACACTGCCAGCCCTTGGCTTTGTCCAAACCTTGCTATTTATTTAAATAATCATCTCATGATGTGCTGGGAAAGGAAGAATGTACTTACCAGGTTGCTGCAGGGTCTTTAGCTAATGTATGTCCTGATGGTTTGTATGCTTGCTGCTGCTGTTCTGTGCAGGAGTGAGTAAGGTGGCAGGTCTGTGGTCCCTTCTCTGCAGTGAGGGTAATGTGTGGAGCCACTGCCTCATTGGAGGATGCCAGTCCCTTGGCAAGTTTTATAGGGCTATGGTTTTTGCTTGGTAGCCAATTAGGGAATGGGGCACCCCCCACACCTCCCTCGCCTCTGATGTCATTCATTCCCCTCCGTGCTCAGCAGCCAGATTCCAGCTAAAGGGAAACCAGCAGTAACAATACCAAAAGGGACGAGGTCAGGGAGGGGGAATTTTTCAGGCTCTTTGCAAAAGGAAAAGAGCCTATTTCAGGCACTCCTGTGCCAAAAGGAGAGTGACGCACACATTGGGGTGGGGACATTGCTCAGACAAAAGTTCATTGAGTCAGATGTTTCTGAGCCGGCTCAAACCAGGCTGGAGAGCTAGGGGGGGGGGGCTTTTTCTTTCACTGGAATAGCTAGTCCCTGTGTTTTCTCAGAAAAACACAAGCAAGGGGATGGAATGGGCAAGGGAGCCTATAATCTTGGGATTCCTGTTTCTCCAAATCTGGCTTATTTGTATTATCTTCTCTCCTGTCCACACAAGACTTTGGCACATTTGCTTCTATATCGATACTTATGTTATAAGAGGCATTGCCATGAAATAATTAAATATGGGAAGGGGGGGTGTGAGAGGCAGGACTCTGGGGTTCTCTTCGACTTGGTGTGATCAGGGACAAGTCAATTAGTTTTGCTGCATCTCCTCCATCCATTTCTCAGCACTTCCCAACTATTTCAAACTGGAAATAACAAAAATGTTATAACAATCAGTTCCAGAGTGTAGAAGCAGAAGCTGGACTGGCTTGGGGTTCTGCCGGGGAAGGAAGGTAAGCCACAGAGAGTGTGTATGTTGCATATGAAGAACACATTGAGGGAAAGCTAAGTTGGAATTTTGAGTTTAGTTCTCAAAATAGTGAGCTTGGGATCTCTTGTGGCAGGGGGCTCTAAAGTCTATGTCCAGTTCACCTGAGTTCTGTCTCCTGTGTCTACAAGCCTCCCCATAGAAATTTGCAGTTTTATTGTTCTGCGGGGACTTAGCTGTTGTGTGGCTGGGATGGAAGTATCTGTCAGATAGCCTGGGCCAGTCACGGGGCACTGAGTAAGTCTTGCCCTGGACTCACTGTTCAGTGAGCTGGCACATAGAGCAGCTGCAGGGTGATAGGCACACAGTGACCTAGCAGGGAATGGGGGAAGGGCTGCTCCATTTTGTCCACGTGGTGCTTTTTTCAGGGTGAGTTGACACAGAGGGCCAGAGTCTCCTTTTCCTTACACCAAGGGTGTAATGCCCTTGGCTTCCATGAAGATTCTCTCCTGGCTGACTCTGGTGTATGAGGAGAACCTGGCCCCATGAGGTGCAGTCACAAGTGCACAACTCACTGTGGGCAGTCCTGTGACTAGGACCTGGGGTGCAATCTACTGCTCAGTGGCAGCTAGAGGGGTGTTTCAGGAGCTCTTTGAGCATCTAACAGGCTGGGCAAAGCCAAAGAGACTGTAAGGCTGCAGGAGAGGGCAGGTGGCAATTGGATAGCCGAGAGTGCAGTATACTGTCCTCTGCTTGTGCTGCAGCCCCAAGCATCCCCCCAGCTCTTGCCATGGCCTCATGCAAGTGGTGACAGGCTATGCGGGTAGGCTTGGAGCTCCCTTGGGTGGCAAGTCCTGGGCTGCCCAGTTGGGTTGCAAGTGTCATTGTGGCCTCTTCCATTCACCATTACAGCTTTTTGGAGCAGGTCAGAAATAACCAGTGTTTGGCAGAATCAAAGGCAAACATAACTTGATTGGATCAACCTTCTCCACCCTGAATTCTGTACACCTTCAAGGGTCCCATCATGCTGTTGGGAAGGGATAGCTCAGTGCTTTGAGCATTGACCTGCTAAACCCAGGGTTGTGAGTTCAATCCTTGCAGAGGCCATTAGGGATTTGGGGCAAAAATTTGTCAGGGATGGTACTTGGTCCTGCTGTGAAGGCAGGGGACTGGACTTGATGACCCTTCAAGCTCTATGAGATAGGCAATCTCCATTAATTTAACTGCCCCCTCGCACAGACCCAACCCCCTCTGAACACAAACTCCAGGATTAGGATGGAAGTCCCCCATTGTGCAAGTGCGTGGGCTGTGGTTCCACTTCAGAGCTGCCTTACACCTCTGCCCTATAGGCCTCGGCTTGCTGAACATCATGACAGGAGACCACTGCTCCATCTGTTGGTTATGTCAATGCTGGGCCCTGCCCTGTCTATGGCTGCTGATTTGCTCTGGGTTCACTCTGCTGTAGCTGGTGTGGAGACTGGGGCTGAGTAACTGAGCTCTCAAAGATCGCTGTGGTGCTTTGCTTTCCCCCGAAGCTGCTGTGAAGCAATCTCCAGTAGAAAAGCGGTATTATCCAGGGTGCAGCGAGTGAGACAAGAGGTGAGGTGACTTGCCAGGGGCATAAAATATCTGTGGCCATTGGAGGCAAAGAACCTGGACTTCTTGGTGCCCAGCTCTGTGCTTTAACCACAGCATGACTGTGCTGCAACATTCCCATCTATAACACCTCAGCCCCCCCTGCTACTTCTGTCCTGGGTCCCCAGCGGTTGATACACTTCAAGCCCAGACTCTGCAGCATCTCTTGTTGCTTCAGCTCTAGACATCCCAGAGGAAGACAAGACTGTGGCTCTCCTGGTCTGAAGTACTCATGCAGTGGGACCCTCAATTCTCAGTCGACAGATGGCTAGAGAGCAGGCACCTCGAGAGACTGTTCCAGTCTTTGTGCCTTAATTATGCTGTAGCTTTACACTATAGGGGGCGGGGGGACCCTACAAATTGATGAAATGCAAGAGAAGAGTGAAACCTGGCACGTTCATCTACCATAGGCCACCTGGGCACCTGCCAGGGTGAGTTTGTTCCCGTGGCCAGTTGGCACTCAGCAGCCGAGAAAGAGATTATTGAGGTCTGCAGGGGCTGGATTGAGTGGAGGGGACTGAGGAGTTAGGAGGCAAAGGAAGGGCAGAGGAGACAATGGACAGACAAATGAGGATGTTTCAGTTTTAATGAGTCTGTCATGCCCTCCCTCTCTGCCTATGGACTGCCCTGGCGAAGTCAGGGGCTCTCACCAGCTGATGGAGCATGATAGTTCCTGCTCATGTACCATGGGCAGAGTGCAAGCTGTTAAGTGCTGACTGGGGGCCCTGTAGGGACTCACGTTCTCTCCCCCTTTATTGCAGCTCTCTCCAGCTTTCCGTTTAACAACCTCCATCTACTCTATTCCCCTAGTTCCACACCTCACATTTCCTTCTCACTCCTCTCCCTGCAGGACAGATTTCCCTCCCCCTCCCCCCAGCCAGCATGGCAGAGTTGTTGAATGCCAGGTGTGGCCCCCTGGCCATTGTGCCTTACAGCTGGAGCGGGGTGGGGGGGAAGCCAGGGCTGCGGGATTTGTTTGTGCCAGCCTCGCTGTCCCTTGGCAACTGGGCTAAGAGAATAAAAGCTCGGCAGGAAATGTGTCCTGAGCCAGGGGCAGAGAATATGGTGCCCCCCTCCTTCTACTGGGAAAAGCAGGAACAGGCCAGTGAAGGAGACAAACGATGTAATTTCCTAAGGGATCCTGCACTAAGCAGTTTAAGTAAATATTTGCTTCTGGCCCTGGGCTGGTACAAAGGTTTTAACTCGGACTTCAGCAGAAGCAGTCTGGGACTCTTGGCTCATTAGTACTCTGAGCATACTCATACTTTTGACCTTTTTGTACCTAAGGATCTGGCCAAGCTCCAGGGGCGGGAATGAGGAGTTAAGGGAGTCTGTGCCTCACAAAGAAATAAACTAGACAGTGGGAGGCAGCTGTGAGCATTAACGTTGATTATTAGGGTTTTATCAGGGAAACGGTGAGAATTTTTAATATGGGCAAAACAACGTATTTTTCCCTAGCCTCATTCACAGAAATGACTGCTCAGTTTTAGCTGAAGCTTTCAAAAAAAATCAGCTTGTGGCATGGAAAATGTCATTAAACGAAATTGAAAACGGGGGCTCTAGTGGTGCCTCCCCCTTGGAAGTGGCCAGACAGCCAACACAGGATAAGAGACCCTCTCAAGGTAGGGAGATGGGGTGGGTTCTGGGGTGACCGAGGGGATAGGGTATTGGCCTGGGGAGAGAAGGTTAGCTCCCAGGGCCGGGAGCTAACCCCACTGCAGCTCTCATGCTTACTGCCTAATCAACTAGTCGATAGAAAATCTGTCGATGAGTTGAATAAACTAAATTTAACACACACTCACCAATGCACAAATGATCACACATGTACCCACACAGCTGCATCTGTGCCCTTATGTGCTCACAAATATAAACACATATACAGTCCAGTAAATATGTATGCTCACAGATTTACACTTACATTCCTGTACAAACACAGATGACAGTATACATGTATGTGTACACATGAACAAAATACACATTAATGCATACACGTGCGTTCAATCCCCCGCTTGTACTCTAACGTGTATGCCCACGCATGCACTGCCTTGTATACACATTCCCATATCCCTCCCTGCTAATGTGTGAGTAGAAATAACATATACATGTACACATGCAACTGCTCTCACATGTATGCACACAAATGCACAAGCATCTTTTGCTAGATAAGAAAATGCACTGCTCATGTGCATGTCTGATTATTTGCAGAACTTTAACATTCTTGTTGAGGTCTACAACAAGCTCAGACCAAACCCCTGACTGTTCTGGCTGCAAAGACAATTCCCAGTCTTGTCTTTTGTAGCTCAGGAAGTGTGGCTTTGTCCAGACTGATGAACTGAGTTTGACTATTAAACACAGATTTTGTTTTATCCAAGTGCACTTGTATATGTGGCACAGACTGTAGTAGTATTGCCCAAATTAATAACCCGCATCTAGCAATTCTGTACACTGCTCCTCCCTCCCTTCCTGAACTGTCAGTCACAACCAGCTGCAGTGTTGTATGGTGCTGTTATTTTGCTCATGCTTCTCAAAGCAGAGCAGAGCTTGTGTCTCTGGCTGCTGAGCTGCTCTGTTTGCCCCTTGTTGAGAATGCCCACATTGGAGACCCTGAAAGTGGTGTTAGGGACCTGCAGGTTGGCAGCATTCAGAGCTAAATTTCCAAAACTCAGCAGAGGGAGCAAATGATGCCTGTTTTTATATGAAGAGGT